CTGAACAGCACTGGTTCCGTTTAAAACATGGCTGATTCCGTCTGCGTGAACGAGATGTGCGTACTTATTTTTTCAAGCAGAGTGGGCATTCTGATTGTTTATTATTCTGTGGTTTGGGTAAGAAGCAAAAAATCAATTTGAAACAAAATTATATTGAAATGTTTTTGAAAACAAAGTATTTATTACGATGGAACGAAATTACGAGTAACACAAATGAACAAGTATTAAAAGTAGATAGTAACAAAAGATGCTCAATGTGATGACCGTTAGTCTCTTTTATATTTTTTCAAATACAATAAGAGCAAGCAATTCCACGGTCCAAGTAGATAATCCTCAAACTCCTATCCAGATGTTTATGCTAAACCTATGCCGATGCTTAAATAGATGTGCATTGTGTACATTAAAAATTCCATTTTTGGTGAAAAAAAAAGAAAACAAAGAAAATCTCCTTATAGCAGTGCTTGTTTCTTTGTTAAATGAAAAAGATATAAATTTTCGTTGTAAGATATTTCCTGCGGAAGACTTTGAAATTGTGGGATACATGATAGATAGTCTTCGAACGCTAATTTCTAAATTTTCCTCAACTTTCATTAAAATAACATCTTCATGTGCTGCTGTTACATCATTATGTCGCCCTGTTTTATAATTTTTTGGAAACACTGAACTTGTTTCTGTTAATCGGGATATTTCTCAGGGTACCTAGGTAACTGTTAGAGCGTTACACCTCATTTTGCAATAAACTACATACATATCAGCGTCACAGAATAATAAACAATCAGAATACCCACTCTGCTTGAAAAAAATAAGTACGCACATCTCGTTCGCGCAGACGAAATCAGCCATGTTTTAAACGGAACCAGTGCTGTTCAGTGACATTTTATCTGGTGTGCATAGAAAAATTAGCCCGGTTTAATTTATTTACGGCAACTATAGACATAATGTGCACTATTTTATTCGTACTTTTAGTTGAAGAATATATTAAATTATTTCAAATGTACTAAATTATTAATCTCTACAAATTTAAATTACAGTTCTCTCGTAGCTCGCCAGAACTTTCTCAATTCAAGTCTATATTTCCGTTTAAAATATGGCGATCGCGTGCCGACAATCTTCAAAGGCGGCATCTGAGAGTGGGCATTCTGATTGTTATTTATTCTATGTCAGCGTATTTCATATTAGGAAAACCAATTTTTGTTGATTTAAAATTGTTGTGTTTGAATGCCATAAGGTAAAAACTTAACGAGAAACTTCACGAACTGACAACAATTTGACATGTTACAAAAAACAAAAAATCGAATTTTCTTGAAAACGGTGTATCAACTTAAAATAAGATTACTTTTTAGTACTACAATACCTGAAAATGTAATAATCTAAATAGTATCATAAATGCTTAAAAGTTAAAAACAAAAAAGTTATGAGTTAAAATAACCATTGACCTACCCAAAACGGACGCCTATGCCATGACAGGTACAAGAAATTACTAAATAGCTGTGTTTTGAACGTATTTAAAAAAAACTAACGGGGTGAATGGGGAGGTATTCATCTGTATGTTTTTGGAAATGGACGCTAATGTTAACCCATTAGGTGCTGCAGTAATAAAATGCCCATAGCTTTTAGAAAATAGAAATTTATTGATGATGAATATTGGATAGAAGTTATCATAAGAATAAACTTCAATAGATTAAGATATTTGTCTTTTCTATAGATGTTGTGTCAACGTGTGTAGGGTAAGGTGGGGCAAGTGCTTACCCGGGGTAAGTGCGTTTGGACTAAATAAAAATATTTGTTACGTGAAGTTGGGTATGAAACCGATTTCAAATTTAGCGGCAAGTATTAAACGAAACAGCTACACACATGAGTGGCAACGTCGTTGAATTCACGACATAGTAGCACACGTGTTTGTTGGTACGTTGGTAGTTACGTTTGAGGTTATGCAAAGAGTAGGTAAGTGATTTTTCTAAGTTTTGTTAATCTCGTACCGCTTACTAGATTTTAATTTTTATTGAATATTTTCGGTTAGTATTGCAGACATTTGAATTGTTTTGATACCATTGATGTTTTTTCACTATAGTTTGCTAGTAATTAAAAGGTGCGCACTTGCCCCAGAGATTTATCACATAGGGCAAATGCATTTTGTGTGTAGGGGCAAGTGCGTCCTTACCTAAACGCACTTTCCCCGGCATAAAATCTGAATACAATTTTTTAATTCTTAGGTAGAGATGGTCCGAAATTCCGTCCGAAAAACGGAAAGAGGTTCGCAATATTCAGCGGAAGCCCTTAACAATGCCTTAACGGATATAAAAATCAGAATTTCACTGTCAAGGGAGCATCACGCACATACAATATTCCTGTGACAACATTACGGGATCACTTGAGTGGAAGTAGAGGCGCAAAGGGATCAGGACAAAGTCGATCTATCGACATTCCATTGGCAGAAGAAAGGCGATTGGCAGAAGGTTTTCGCACGATGGAGCAATGGGGATTCGGTTTGTCGCGTAAAGAAGTTTTAGATTAAGCCAACAGTTCGTCCAATCAAACAACTTAAAAAATCAATTTAACGATAGTAAACCAGGTGAAGACTGGTTCTTAAATTTTAAAAGAAGACATCGGCTGTCAATAAAGAAACCGGAAATAGTTGAATTTGCAAGGAAGAAAGCCATGAATCCTTTTGTTGTTAAAGATTATTTTAAGTTATTGAGCGAAACCATTTAATCTTTGGGACTTGCTGATAATCAACCCAGAAGTTATGAAAAATGGATTTAAGAAGGGAGGTATCTTTCCATTTGATGATAAAGTTGTACCCGAAGATCGTTACGAGCCTTCTTCTTTAAGGCGATGGCAGATTTTAGCGGACGTCAGAGATCAGCGCCAAGAGACTTCTCTAGATTTGACAGATGTTGCCACCTTCGAGACAAACTCGTGAGTATCGTATTTCAACAATATATACGTAGGATTTTAGCGAGCTACTCTCGTAACCTTATGATTTTTTTCTCTATTTTTCAGATGTCCAGTATCTTTTAAATATCTCCTACTACAAACCGTAGAAAGCGGAAACCAACTCCAGCAAAAAATAAGAAGCGAATTGCAGCAGGCAGTGAAGTGATCACTGCCGGACCCAGCAAAGTCACCTTCCAAGACTCAAGTGATGAAGACCAGGACGATCAGATCTCTCTACAAGATGAGTCTAAAGGTAGCGATTTCGTGGGCCAGATTTCGTTAGAAGAAGAAGATGACGAGGAGGAATTATTTCTTGGTTCTTTGCCTGAATTTTCTGTGGGAGACTGGGTTTTGGTAGTTTTCAAAAGCCAAAGTCGGGACAGAAATGACATTTTATATATAGGTCACGTGATTTCTCTCACTGAAAGTGATACCCAGGTGAAGCTACTGAGGAAAATTGTTTTTCCTCAGGTGGAAGATATATCCCTTGTGACAAAAGAGGATATCCTTAAGGTATTATCAGCTCCACATGTTGGGAGAGGAATGCAAAATTTCAATATTAGGTTTCCACAAGATATACAACATAAATTAAGATAAACTGTACAATTTTTGCATTTAAATAAAGTACTTTCTCATTTTTTGTTGTGTCATTAGGCCCTTCTGAAGATATTTTGTTTTCAAAATTATGAAAATTAAAAAAAATTAGAACTGTGTTCAGAAAACTAAGTAAATAAGTGCACTTACCCCGTAATTCAACGCAAGGAAACTATATATAACTATGCCCGGGAGATGCACTTGCTCCAAACTGACGATGCTACTGCGATATGTAAGAGAAAAAAAACTATAATTAATAATCGTTAAAAGCCACAGATTTGGAATCTTCCCTAAATAAAGATCATTGTCAAAGTACTTGATGCACTAATTCTCGATTTGGCAGAAATAACCTAAATAAAGCATTGATACAATTAAAACCAAATATGAATAAAAGGGGGGTGCACTTCCCCTACCTTACCCTACTCTAAGACAGGTATAAAATATATTATATATGTATATGTATATATAAGGATCACTCAGACGAGTGGTGGGTTCTTATATCGGTCTCTAGGTGGAGAAATAAAAGACAAAGTTGATAGGCTACTTTATCTATTTTGAAGACGTTTCGCTTTCGAGTTTTGAAAGCATCATCAGTTCATCTAAAAAAGTACAATATGAGAACCACACAATCATGGAAACGATGTTAATTGTTACCTTAAAAAGACATGTAGCAGTCAATGTTATTAACAATAATGTGAATGAAACTTAAGTAAATGGACATAATACGCTGATCTTGTATAAACAATTAAGTAACTAACAACATATATGAACTTATAAAAATTAGCACAGCAAATGACCATGTGGTCTAAAGTAAATTAAATGTTATTTAATGTTAATTAGTGAGCAAGAACTAAGACAATCATAGATAACTTCCAACTATTTTATGATTATTTTATGATTATTAAGCTTTGATTTTTCTTTAGGTAGCATTATAAGTGATATTAATAAAATTATAAAAGTAGTGTAAATGAAGTTACCGATCAAAGCCCTACAAGTGTCGCCCTTGTAGGGCTTTGATCTATATATATATATATATATATATATATATATATATATATATATATATATATATACATATATATATATATATATATATATATATATGTAATATAAGAAAAGTACAAAATGAGAAAAAACATTTTTTTATTATCGTGCCTATTATTTTGTTTATTATCAAGTCCGTCTCTGTATGATATTTAAACTTGTTATGAAATTACTTTGACGTAGTTCTGGTTGCATATTTCTGAGTATTATTTCTCTGGCTATTATTTCGAACTCCGTGTTGAAATTAATGTCAGTTTATAGTTATACTAATTTATAGTTACTTTTTTAGAATTAACACAATATTTTACAAATACTTATCTATACAGTAGTTTTTTGGATATATAGTTAAATAAAAGATATTTTTAACCGATTAATTCAAATTTATTCTACCTACAGTTTGACAATTAGTCATTCTTTGAAAGAAATTGAACTCAAAAAACAACCTTTTCCAGATAACCTTTAATGATCTGTAATTTTGAAAATGTGTTTTTAACTAGCTTTATCAAATAATCGAACTATATATCTGTATTGTTTAAATTCGGCGACCGCATCTTAGTTTTGTTTTAGTTAGGTAGCATTTTAATTTCAAAATGTTTAAGTCTCCAGTTTTAGGAAAAGCAATAGGTTTAAAAATTTACAAAGGATCTTTAACATCACAAAATTTAACAAAGGTAAGAAAGTTGTTTTTTTATAAATCTTATTTTTTCTTAATAATTTTTTTTAAAGGTTACTATATGTTGTTTTTCAACTAAAAGCCCCAACCGGAGAAAAATATTTTCTATAGATGAAGCAGTTAAAGATATAAAAAGTGGATCAAAATTATTAGTTGGTGGTAAGTTTTACAAATATAGTTAGATGCAAAGAATTTTTTATTATTTAAAGAAGCTGTGAACTACTGGTAAAAACCATGAGTTTCCTAGCAAAAAATTTATTCTTTACTTTTTACATAAAATACCAAAAAGTAGTAAATTTTGAATTGAATGTACTATTTTTCTAGTTTTGTAGTAATTTAAGGACAATTACACATTAATGTTGTTACTATAGGTACATATAATTACACAATGGTACTTATTTTACATAATGAATACCTCTATTTTGTTTGTATTAGATGTAATTTATCAATTTTTAGGTTTTGGACTTTGTGGTATTCCTGAGAACCTTATTTCTGCCTTACTAAAACATGAAGCCAAAGATTTTACAGTTGTGTCAAATAATGCTGGAGTGGATAAATTTGGATTAGGACTCTTATTAAAACAAAAAAAGATCAAAAGAATGATATCCTCATATGTGGGAGAAAATGCTGAATTTGAAAGACAGTTTTTAAGAGGTGAATTGGAAGTAGAATTGACTCCACAGGTAAGTGATTAAATTAGTAACTTTTTGTTAACATGCTAATCCCCTTTTTATATTAACATACAAGGTCAAGGTTTGTGCCACTCAATATCAATCTTAATACTATATATTTACATTTATAAATACATTTACAATGATATACTGATAAGCAGAACCTTATAAATGTCATTATTTAAACAAAATTATGATTATACAGAAAGAAAACAATAAGTTGTACATTATCTACTTTTATGTTTCATTTATATATTACATTTTTATTCAGTTATCACTTATATGACACTTAATAACTAAACTGGCCAATTTAATATTATTTATATATATATATATATATATATATATATATATATATATATATATATATATATATATATATATATATATATATATATATATATATATGGTTTAAACAACAGCCTTGTTTATATTGATCTGAAACAGTTAAGTACTTTGGAGTCTTGATTTATTTAAATATGAGCCTTGATTTATTTATAAATTTGAAAATGAATTCTTTAATATGGACATTCTGACTTCATGTTAGAATTTATCTCCAAATTCAAGTTTAAATTAAGTAAAAAATTTAACTGTGTTGAATTTGAAACTGTTAAAATTAGTTTTATATTCTTGGAGAACTTTGTTAATTAAAAAAATTACTACTAAGTACTACATTCCTTCAGCTTAATTTATGTTGCAAAATTGGAAAGATTAAATAATCAAATCAAAATAACTTCTTCTCTCCTCTTATAGTGCATATTGATAACCAGTATTTATTAGGCAATAATAGTGTTACTTGTTGCTGTAAGTCCTATAGTAGATACTACAAATCAGATTTGTGGAAATTCTGCCTTTTTAACATACAAAATAGATGAAGCATCCACTAAGAGGTTGTTTCTATGTATGTTAACTTGGATATAATATTTTTCGTCATAGTAAGAATTTTTTAAGTTCTTCTAAAGATGTCTATCTTCTAGTGATGTTGGCGACCACATTGACTCATCTTAGTCTATTCACAACAGCTCGAAATAGATCAGTTGACATTAGAAAAGTCCATTTCCTAAGATTTGCCAGCCACAACATATGTCTACATCCAGGGCCTCTCTTGCCCTCAATCTTGGCTTATAGAATCAACTGTAGAAGTCAGTTTTTACTATTATATATAAAGTGGCTGAAGTAAGTAAGCCAATTTTCTGTTCTTATGGTGTTTATAATTTCATTGTCTTTTCTGTCTGACAAAAGTCAGGAATCTACAATAATCATATCAAGCATATTAAAAAAAAACCTCAAGTAGCACTTTTTGGATTTGATTTTATAAAACATGAGGCTATCCATAAGATCACATAAAGTTATATGTTTATTGTTATCTTCAATAACACTAGGACAACACTGTTTTGTTGCTTTTCCATACAACTGACAGTATTTCAACTCCTTCAAAATCTCATACATATTCAATGGAATTTTCACTGTTCATTTTCTTTGCAGAATCTTCCCACTGTAATTTTTAGTTTGGAATATGATGATGCCTTACCATGCCCAATGAATATTACATGCCCTATTAGCTAAATATTGCAATAATAATTATCAAAGTAGATAACAAAATTTTGAGCATGTTTCAGCACCAGTATAGATTTCAAAATTCTATGAAAAACCCACTAACAGCACATAAAATGAAAAACTTGTAACCCTACTTACGAGGTTTTGCAGGCATATACTGCTTCATATAGTGCTTGCCTTTGGAAACGCATATGTGTTCATCTACAGAAAGCTTTTCTTTTAATGGAATGCTTTAAAATATATTATTTAGGTGGTCAACTAATTCAAATCTTTTTTCATTCATGACATTGTTTATTTGTGGATACCCAAATGATTGAGACCAATAACTTGACAATTTTGAATTTACTTACTTCATATTGTAAGATACTTCTGCGGGACATCAGTATTCTTTGAATAAAATTTTATCTGATGTTTAGGATAGTTGTGGTTGACAACCATTCCATCTTCAGGTTCAATGAACAAATCCTTAATGTTCAACTGAAAAGAATAATTTTCTAAGTTTGCAACTTTGCATCCAAGTTTGCAACTCTGTGTATCAGATCTGATACAATCTTAATAATCATGGAATTTTGTTGATGATAGTGTAACTTCAAAGTAAATAATAAAATATGTAGCTTGCTCCAGTCTTTATATTTGACATAAACTTTGATCCAAAGTTGAATTACATCAATGACTTACTAAAAACAATGAAAATCTAGTGAAAATTTTAATATATTCTCAACACAAGTTGAATAGCATAAGATAACTAACCAATTTTGGTTGTGAGTAATATCACTCGCAATTGTAAGTCTTATTGTTATATGTATTAGAATGTATCTAATATGCTACACACCGAAAAGATAGAATTGTTTTTATTAATTTTAATATACATAGCTGAAAACTGTGTTGTAGCAAAACAGCTACATTGCACAGCATAGGGTTAATATAGTTTGTTAATCTCACTTAAAAAATATATCAAATATATATGTACTTATATAAGTTTGATTAAAATTGTGCAGTTTTTGATAAAATTATATTTTTTGATTCATAGGGAACTTTAGCAGAAAGGATAAGGGCAGGGGGCGCAGGTATTCCAGCATTTTTTACCCCCACTGGATATGGAACTCTTGTACATGAAGGTGGAGCCCCTATTAAATATGGCAAAGAGGGCAAAATTGAAATAGCTAGCAAACCAAGAGAATCTCAAACATTTGATGGCAGGTCTTACATTCTGGAGGAAGCTATCACTGGAGACTTTGCACTAATTAAAGCATGGAAGGCAGATCCTGCTGGGAATCTCTTATTCAGGTATTTTAAATATTTAATCAGTTAATAATTTAAACTTACACAAAACATCTCTGAATAAGTACAGTGTAAATTCACATGATAATTGATATGATTATCATCAGGAATACTACTTTACATGATGTAGAACATCAAGTAATGTTCTGAATTTGAAGGGCACAAAGGGTGAGAGTACATACCATAGACATACATATAATACAAATTGCTGTCCCCTATTGCGATAGAGAAAACCGACATAAAGCAGTCCCTGCATCTCTTTTTAATGTACCGGGTTTATCAACGTAACCTAAATGACCAATGGGAATGTCATGTGGTCGATAAATCCAGTTCATTAGAAAGCGATGCAGGGACTGCCTTGCGTCAGTCACATTAGCGGAACGGGCCTGTATTGCAACAGTTAGCAAAAATGCAGCCTCGCAAGTAAAATAATTGTTGTCTAATTAAGCTCTAACCAAGGACAATTTTGAAATCATACTTTTCATTTTTAGGAAAACTGCTAGGAATTTTAACCCTACAATGGCAAAAGCAGCTAAAACGACAATAGTAGAAGTTGAAGAAATAGTTGAATTAGGTGAAATTAAACCTGACGATGTCCATCTACCTGGTATATTTGTCGATAGAGTTATTTTAGGAGAAAAATACGAAAAAAGAATAGAAAAATATACTGTGCGCAAAACGGAAAGCAGCACAGATTCTGTCATAAAGAAGAATCCCGCCGCCATCAATAGGGAAAGAATAGCCAGGAGGGCTGCTCTTGAATTCAAAAATGGAATGTATGGTATCCTTTTACAAATGAAATTTAATAGTTTTAATGTTTTATCAATTTTATAGCGGTTCACCTTCTGCGCTCTAACCACCAATGTTCTATATTTAAAACATTTTTTGCGTCACTTATTGAAAATAGCTTTGTTGATTCCTTTTATCCATATCCAGTGGTCTCCCTTCGTCTCAGTAGATGCCGTGACATGTGGAGCCTTTCATAATTGATCATTGCGACTCCACGTCCATACCGGTTCGATTATTTTCTTGGTATATCTAAAATATTTCCTCTATCCGTTTTGTATTCTTCAGTTGGTCTTCAAGATTCTCTGGATTTGTTATATGCATATATAACAAATAACTGTCAAAAGTTCATTTTATGATGAATTTCCAGAGTTGTGTCTTAATTTTTTTAAACATCCTTTATTGGATAGGGTAATATAACAAGCTTAATTGCAAAATTAATTTATTACTATTTTTGAATTGTACTTAAAACTAATAAGCAGAACGTGTTCGGGTTTAAAGCTTCAATATGCACAGCCCAAGATGAAATACATAATCTAACTTAAATACACAATTATCACACATACACTTGTTTACACATCTATATAAGTTCGTATGGTTTGAAACGTTTTAATCTTCTGATTTCCTGAGTGTTATCCAGAAGTTGAATAGCTCCTACGTTGGTATGACTAAGTTTTCTTATCATCTACCCATGGACAACTCATTCTGAATTAATTCGGAGATTACGGAATGGTAAGCTTTTGCAATCGCTCGGAGAAATTTATTTTGACTACGTTGCATTATCAGCCTATTTGTTGACTTAATACAACCCCCAGAGTTGTACTCCATAAACCCAAATTTATTTTATTATAGAATGATACCTTGATACCGTAGTTCCTTCAAGCTGGATCAAACTTTTTCAAAACTTGTATATATAAATGTACTGTATGTTGGTGAATTTTTTTTCAGATTATATAGGGTATCTTGAGAGGAAATGGACTCGATTGATAAAGTTTTATTTCTTGTTTTGTTCAATGGTAGTGGACAACTGAGGTCAAGTTTCGAGTAATTTTCAAACTAATATAAATATTTAAAAAGAGGTCAGGAATCTTACTGCTGCTTGTAGGCCAGTAAGTGGGCAGAATAATAATTACAGTTATTATTATTGAGGCACGCAGAAATTCATTGCCTTCACCAGGTGTTATTAATCTGAAGCCATAATCCGTGTGTTTTACATTAAAGTTTACTTTAGATCTATTCTCGTTATAATGTTGATGCGATAATTTATGTCTAGGTGCTATTTTAAATACTTCTCGTATGTTTATCTTTTCGAGTAGGTTGAAGATCTTAAATTAAATGAATTTCAACTATCATTCAGAATACATCAAATAATAAAAAGGACATGAAAGCTTAACCCTACCTTTCTAAAACACTACCCTGCTAAAAGCTCAAGATCAGCTATCTTTTTAGTGTGCAAAACGATTTGCAATATTATCTAACGGAAGTTTTTATTACTGACTTTTCTACGTCATACCTACCTAACTTCCCATTAGACTAAGTATCGAGATCTTCCAATATCTCATAGTATGTATTAATATTATCAAGATAATATTTTTCCTCTGAGTAGAAGGACTAATTTTAAGAGTGGAAGTAATTTTATAGCATAAACCGCGATCTGGAGTCATTTCTTTCACACTTTTCGTCTGCGATTTATCGGCTATGTTAATGCCTGCCTTAGAAATAAATCCAGACCACTTTCAATTAATATTAATTGGACTGACTTTATTACATTGATTTTCATAAGAAAAAAATTGTGTTGTCAAAAAAGTGTTCTACTTTCCTTAATACATGGAACAGTTAATCTAGGAATTGGTATGCCAATGTTGACCTCTAATTACATACCAGAAAACGTAGAAGTATATTTGCAATCAGAAAATGGAGTTCTAGGTCTCGGTTCTTTCCCAGATTCATGTGATGTGGATCCAGATCTCATAAATGCTGGAAAAGAAACTATTACCGTAATACCTGGTGCTTCATTCTTTAGCAGTGATCTAAGCTTTACTATGATTAGAGGGTAAGTGTATATAAAATTAGTAAGTCGTTAAAATAAATTAAAATATGTTTACTGGTGCTACTGTAATATTTCCCGAAAATAAACGCTTGTCATAAAACCGCAATAACTAGCTTTTGGGTCGGCTATTTTTAAAACTTGCATCTTTTTTGGAGGATCTCAAGTAACTGACTTCTCATGCCGTGACTTTTTCTGTTTCCAATAAGGAGACTAGGTCCTGTTTAATCCGTCATGTTAGCGTTCTTCTTGACTCTTTCTGTTACGCTAACTTTTACGATAATTATCGTAACATCGTTGTAGTGGTTTCTCTGTAAAAACGTTGCCCATCTTGTCCATCTCACTTCTAGCAAACGGTCAACTAGATATCTCCAAGATCACTTACGTGTTCCAACTTATTTCACCGCATCCTGTACTCCCAGTTATTCCTGGTTTTTTATTTTATTCTCAAGGATTATTTGATGGTTTATGATGGATTATTATTATTATTAAATTCGCAATACTCCAAATATTAAGGACTTGATAAGCCTTACAGAAATCGTGTCGTTGTCCGTTTCTGTCTGCCTGGACGATAAATGATAAAAAAAATCCTAGTTACTTGATACTAGGAGGATACATTCCTTTTGGTGCAAGGAAGAAGCCTATTGGATTTGGAATCAACAGGTCTTTTTCTTCTCATATTCCTAAATCTTTTCTTTTTCTTGAAGGAAAAGTCGTAATTTTTAAACTTGGTGCATACTTTCTTCTTGATATAATACTATTGAATTTGGGGTCGACAGGTCTTTTTATCGTTTATGTTTCTTTAAAGAAAAGTTGTAGAGTCTTGAATCAATTTTTGTTTTTTTTTTTCATGTAAGAACTGTTCTTATTTCCATATTCTTATACCTTTTTGTTTCTCGAAGGAAAAGTTGTACTTTTTTTGCTACATAGTTTGTCCTCGGGTTTCTTTTCATATTGCAACTCACAGATAATTTAAATCTTGATTTTTGTTGTACATATTGTTTCGTTTGTCAGTTTCCATCGTATGAATTCTTTGGAGGTGGCCCTAAATTGTATTTTTTTTTTATCATCATAGGTGATCCTTATTTTCTGCAATTAGGATATGTTATTTGCTCAACACAGTATATTACAGTAGCAATTGCTCAGCATATATCCTCCGTTAATTGATGATTTGGTCCATGACTATATTGAATAGAGTAGAGCTAAGACCATCTCCTTGTCGTATCCTACCTAAACAAGGCGAGAAGCTCGGGTTCATTTGGAAAAATATTCCCATGATATTTTTTTGCATAATCACTTTCATGACATACCCTAAAGTAAGGTTCGACATGACATACCCTAAAATGAGGTCACCCAGGCAAAAAGCTGTTAAACAATTTTTTTACATTTTTTGAATTATTATGAGCAACAAAGGTATGTTGTAAGTTTTCTCTAAAAGTTGATCGTTTTCGAGTTATAATAATTTAAAACTGAAAAAAATGCAAAATTACGATTTTTAAGGCTCAAAATACAAGTAAAAAATATTATTTTTGAAATCATCAAGGGCCTAAATTTAAGTTCAAGCCTTCTTCTATCAGCTCCAGATGCAAATTCTGGGCCTATTTTATTTTAAAACCTTATTTTTTAATTGTTAATGAAGCGAGTATGGCAGGGTGGGCTCTCCTTTGTACAATGGGAATTCAAATCAGCAAAAATGTGTACCACAGATCTTGTTTCTCTCATTTATACACGCCACAGCCCAAGCGCCTTCCAGTTATAAGCGCTTCATTAGCGATTAAAAAAACAATGTTTTAAAATGAAATAAGCTCAAACTACTTATCGGGAAATAATAGAATAAGGTTTGAACTTGAAATTAGGCCCTTGGTAAAACCAAAATTAGTATTTTTTACTTTATTTACAAAAACGATCAAGTTTGCAGAATAATTACAAGAGAACTATTTTGTTCAGAATTATCCAAAAAAGTAAAAAAAAATGCCTGGGCCGAAAAATTGATTGTTACAATTTGTTTAAAAAAATTTGAACAACTTTTCCCCTAAGCGAATTTTTGAACATTATTTTTGGTATCTCATAAAAGTGATTATGCACAAAAAACCTAATGGGACTATTTTTCCGAACGAACCCGAGCTTTTCGCCTTGTTTTAACCTTTGAATTGCAGTTCGTCAAATAATCATATTTTCACTTTTTACTCTTGTTCTGTTTCTGGTGTTTTTTTTTGTTTTTAAATTTTTGGTATTTATGCTTTACATTATTCTGCTTAAAATAAAACAAGCAAACGATGGTTTGTTGAACCATTAACTATTCTCTCAGTTGGTGTACGATTAATATTGAGTCCACTGTTGATCTATTAGCCCAAGGAATAATAATAGTTTTCCTTTGGACACACAAGTTTCCTGTTTATTGTTTAGGTATTCGCGTAATCATAATGTGATAGCGGCATCTTTTAGCGATAACTGAAAGCTTCCAATTAATGGATCAGTTTGAGGTTATCCAATTTTGTTAGTGAGCAAGATAATAAAAAGAAAAAACACTTAGATCCTAAAAATTGATCGATGCTCCATTTAAACTTTCGTCCCTTACTTTGTGTCTCCAGGGGAAGAGAGAGAGAGAGAGAGAGAGAGAGAGAGAGAGAGAGAGAGAGAGAGAGAGAGAGAGAGAGAGTAACCTGTCTGCATGATGAGTTCAAAAATTTAGACATGTTTATGCTATACTCATACAGAAAAGAACTGTAATTACAATAATAATTGAAAATATATCAATATTACGTGTAAAGAAAAAAGAAACACAAATTTCTAAAACCACAATATGATAATTACCGGTAGTACTGTTAAAAATACTGTGTAGCTAGTAATTTCTCCAAAAAGGCTCATTCACCTCGCCTAGATTGAAGTTATTTCATAATTCTGGTAGTCTAGTAGTATTTGTAGAATTGAATTAAAATCAGCTTTATTCTATCCCGATATATATTAAGGACTTTATTTATATTTAAAAACAAGTTTACATAATTTATAAGAATATTTATATATAATTCTTTTTTCATTTTTAGGGGTCATATTGACTTAACTATTTTAGGTGCTATGGAAGTTTCACAATATGGAGACTTAGCAAATTGGATGATTCCTGTAAGTATTTTTTTTTATTTAGGGATCAATATAAAAAAAAGATCTTACTAACCTCCCGTTTCTTTTTATATCAAACGTAATTTTTCCAAAATTGTGTAAAAAGTTTTATAAATTATTACTCAACTTTTAAATGCATAAAGTACATTCATTATTATGTTTTACTAATAATGTCTAATGCCCTAATTTAGTGTCTTTATTATAAGACATCACCTTTTAAATGTATGTAATTTAGTACCACGTCAGTCTCTTCTATGTATTTCCCAATGGATCACGCCGTATATTTTCAGTACAGACAGATATCTTCGGGACGTCTTTCTGCCTACCCTACGTTCACGTGTCAACTTATTGCTGGTTACAAATATATATTCTCGATTTTCTGATCCATGGTATGATAGCAGAGAAAATTAGTTGTTCGATTTCTTCGATTATACTGTTTTTATTAGTGTTTTCTGGATTTGAATGATAAAACTACTTATTAATGAGCTTAATACTTTTAGGGAAAATTGGTGAAAGGTATGGGCGGTGCAATGGATCTGGTCTCAGCGCCTGGAACGAAAGTCGTAGTATGTATGGAACATTCAGCCAAAGATGGCGGTCATAAAATATTAGAAAATTGTACTCTTCCCATAACCGGCAAAAATGTAGTGGATATGATAATCACAGAAAAAGCAGTATTTACAATAGATCCGGAAGCTGGACTGAAACTTATTGAAGTTGCTGAGGGTGTAGGTGTAGAGGATATTCTCGCCTCAACTGGTTGCACCTTTGAAGTAGCAGAAGAATTAAAACCAATGGGACAAGTGGCTGTTAACTAGTTTTATTTAGGATAAGATTGTTTAATACCGTTTATTTTATAAGTGTAACTATTATCTCTTTTATTATTATCATATTTCATAATGTAAATTATCAAATTTTCTTAAATCGTTAATGTCATTTTAAATATATACAACTTGTTTAAAGAAATATTTTTTTAATCCTATACATACTTGAAATAATTTGGGATGGCCTGAAAATATTAAAGGTAATATTAAAGAGTGCATGCTTTCGCGGTCGGGTTTTGTGGTTTAGTAATTTATAGACCATTATCTTGAATTATTTCTTCTAGTGTTTCTTCTGCCACTGCTGTAGACATTATCAAAAGCAAAACAATAACGGTCATAACCTTCTGTCGCGCACTGGTGTGCTCCTCGATTATCTGATCTATTTATACTCTTTGTATTGAAACGGTAAAAAAAATAATTTCTCAGTTGGATCTCAATGAAACTTGTTGCATTCGATTCGTAAGAGCATTAGGAAATTTTGTGAACTAAAGTGATGTCCAATAGAAAATTTCAATATTGAACAAGTCATGAAAAATAATAAATTTGTAATTCGGAAATAATTGACGGAAATTTAAGTAGGGAGAGGTTACGGTAGAGTTCAGTAGTACTATTCGGAGGTTTTTGAGGTCACTGAGTACGAATATCAGGACGTTTCCGAGGTATCTGGTGCACAGGACGGGTATCGTCTGAAGTTTTATGGAAATTCGATACAAAATCAGTGCAAATTCGTTTCTTTGGGGTTGCTGATCATAAATATCATGACAGCGATTGTTTCTGAGGCACCTGGTCCCCAAAACGGCACTCTTCTGTAGTTTTATGTAGTCCACCACCCTGTAGTTTTGTGAAAATTCGATACAAAAGCCGTGCAAAGTCGATACTATATTTGAGCGATCCCAAAAACCTCCTTGTATCAAATTTTCACAAAACTCCTAGAGACAAGCTAGTCCTGAGCAGGTTGGAGACCACCGACGACAATATTCGTCTTCAGCAAGCCCAAAAATCACCGAGTAACAAGTTTGCACCTGGGCACCAGGTAAGCGAACAGATTTTATGTATCTTACTATGTTTTCCTCTTTTAATTATTCAATTTCGACATTTGCTTTCATTCTATTTTCTACGTCTCTTGTTACATTGTGGCCCAGTATAATTCCCTTTTTTTAGTAGCTTATTAAGTACGGTAGCCCAGAGATCGTGGTAGAATTGATAAAGGTAAGATATACCATACCAGAGGAATATAGAACAAGCATAACAATACCAATATACAAAAAATAACTAAAAACCGACCCACATAATTACAAAGGAATAACGCTGCTCTAGTCTACATTAAAATTCTTAAGAAAAATTTTGTCACAGAAGTTAATGTACACCATAGTATTAAGGACCAATAGATCTACAACCGACCCGATCCTTATATTATGGCAACTGATAGAGAAATCCATAGAGTTCAACAAACCCCTTTTCCTGTTCTTTGTGGATCTCACAAAAGCGTTTCACAGAGTCCAACTGAAAGACGTAATCCAAATCACGAAGCAGAAAAACTTAATAAAAATCAGGAACTTAACAGTCGCAAAAAAAAACGAAAGATATACTGACCGTAGAAGTAAACCGTATGTAAATATCGGTCTTTTAAGGTAGTGTGTACTTGGAATTTTATTGTACTTGCGACGATATCTGATCTTAGTTGCCTAATTAAACCTTGATAATATTTATTGGCGATGAATATTTGATGCTTCACTGCCTCTGCAACGTTGTTATCATTAAATCTTGTAGCTACCTTATTTCTGCTTTTTTACTCGCATGTATATATCCTGTTTTGGTATAATTGATTTTAAGTCCACTATTTTGTCCAGCTCGTTATATTTTATTGAATGCCTATATTATTTCTCATCTTGACTTTCTGATTATGTCAATCTCATCTGAAAACGCTAGTATTTGCACACTTTTATTAATTATTTTTTCTCGACTGTTGTATCTCTTAGTATTTTTTCGAGCGTGATGAACAAGGTGCTTGATAGGGCGTCTCCCTGACGTAGTCCCTTTTCACATCTATTATTTCGTTTGTATCCGGATTTTACTTTCTATTTTTAGATTTTCTTTAATCAATACTATTAGTTATGTTGTTATATTAAGTCCTTTCATTGTTTGTATTAAGAATTCTCGGTCTATATTGTCAAGTGCGCTTTCGAAGTCTATAAAGAGTTTCCTTCATATCCTTCGCCTTGGTTTTCCCATTTCGAATCAAATAAACTATCTTCCAATAAAGTTGTCTCAAGAAGGCAATTCAAAAATATTGACAATATCATTTTAAAGTCATATACTTTAAATTGTGTATATGTCTGCAATTTTAATATGAATGAGGCACATAAAATTTAATTAGAAGAATTTTTTTATTAAGTAACAACATATTTTTTTTATTTAGCTTAAGTGCCTTGACAACCAAGGCCATTGGCAGTGTATTCCCTTGAATAGTTTAGAATATTTGCAAGCGATATCTTCAAGTTATATTTCCGGGCATGGCTGGTGTACTGTTGGCAGTCCTTTAATATATGTTTTACGTTAATAAAACAACTGCACTATTGACATGTTGGACGTTCATCCATCATAATTCTTAAAAATTGCACAATAGGTATTAAATATTATTAACAAGATTAGTGTTTTTGAGGAACTGTAGTACTTTGGTGTATTCACTTGGGTAGTTTAGAATATCTATAGTAGCTCTAGTAAGAGCACAATTTTAAGCTGCATAGGGCTGTATGACAGTTATTCCAACGAGCTTGCCAAGATTCTATGATTGACTTTTTAAACTTAGTTTTAAGGTTTTTACTTAGTAGGATCATTGTTTGCCTAATTGATGAAGTAATCGCTTCTTTAGCTTGGCGATCAGTAGTTTCGTTACCGACAAGGTCAATGTGTGATGGAAGCCAGATAATTGAGACTTTTGTTTCTTGCGCATAAAGAGATCAGTATATGTCGTGTATACGCTGAACTAGTGGATGATTAGTAAATATTGATTTTATTGAGAATATGAAAGAAAATCGGTACAAAGTGCTACATTTGAATGACGTGGAAATGCATTTAAAAGCTACATGATGAAGGCAACCGAGTGGAACTTATAAGATCTTTTAAAGTAGTAACTGCGCATCCTACTACGCAAGAATTTTTGGAGGCATCAGTGTAAAGAACTAAATCAAAAGGTGTTTTCTCTAGTATTTCTAGGAAGGCTTCCTTTATAAGAGTAGGGGGTGGGTAAGTAGTGAAGAGATGGGCAGGGTGAATGATAGGCCAGTGTTCTTTAATAGACGGGGAGTATTTGCAGAAATGGCTCTATAACTGTGCGAGAGGAGTTGTTAATGGCGTAATCAGGTACAGAGGTAGTAAGATGGTAAATGGAGTTGGAAGGATTACTTAATGTAGTGGAAACGTATGATAGAAGCAAATGTTGTCTTCTAAGGTATAGACTTGATGTAATGTGTAATTAACAGAAATTGTGGTTAATTACCATTAGATTAGGTGTTTTTAGATTTCGACTTCCTTTCTGAACATTCGTGGATATGGTGATGTTTTATTAACCACTTCTATTTCTCGAATAAAATTTAGTGGTTATATTGTGTAATTGTGTGTTCTGCAATTTCATATTTCTCTTGAGAAATATAAATAATTTTTTTTTTCAATATACACTGAAGCCCATTTACAAGTAATGCGGTTAATTCCTGAAGTGTAGAAAAATTCTCTTAGATCTTTAACTTTCTTGTAACGTGTTCGTTGATTTGAAAATACTCATATTGCATGGAATCAATTTTTTGTAAAAGTTTTTCAATTCGATCATTTTTATTATACGGATATAAATCTTTACCGTTTTGAAAGTATGAATCATTAGGTATTGCTGTTTATTCGTTCTGTTTCACACAATCTTTATTTCCATACTTTTCCTAGACGTTTCAACTCGAATTGGACTTATTAAAATGAAATAAATTGTCAATGTGATTATGAAATTTTTAAGTTTCCTTTCTATATGGCTCTGCCAAATCCGAAAGTGTCATTTACAAAACGGAAGTATGTAAATGAAACTTACTGTTCAAATAATTCGAGACCACTACCTTTAACACCGAAAATAATCTATCATTATAAAAAGAAAAGAACATCTCTTAAATCTTTAAGTTAACAGGAAGTTTTAGGATACACCTGGGATGAAATAGTGTAATCTGTAATTTATTTCCTGGCAATACAGTAATACGATACTTGTCTGGATATAAAGGGAGATTAAAAAATAGGAAATCCAGGAGTAAGTATGTTCAACTTGCAAACGAGGGACTAGAAAAACTCGACACTGTAACTATGAGAAGGTTGGTTTGAAAAATATTAAAAAATGACAGATAGGTTAAAAAACCAAAATGCATATATAGTAAAAAAGAAGGAGAAACAAACACACTTATCTTATATTGTCGCTCTACACTCCTGTCAGATTTACTTTCTTATTTATTACCAGAAGAAAGGAAAATTATGAGAGAGTATTAAACAAATAATTGCTACATATTAAAAATTTTTATATCAAAAAATTTCAACCAGGTAAAAGTTTTATAGAATGTTAATACATTAACAAAGTAAACAAATCAAAATAAGACAAATAGCAACAAAAACAAAAACGTAAATTTAGACAAATCAAGTAATTAAATAAATATTCCTAAAATTAGATGAAATTCCTTTATAAGTGGGTAGAGCTGAAAGGTGAATTTAAATAGCAACATTTAGAAAAGGTGACATTACCTCAATTATAGCATAATTATCAAAATATATAAATTAGCTGAATAAAAAGTATTACTGAACATACAAACTTTTAGGTTGTATACAAAAAACAAAAATTATTAAGAAATACAAAAAAAATTGAGAGAGAGACATGCCGTATATAGAAAAAACGGGGCACTATACTTTTGATTTACCAGATAGAAAACATTTTGCGATCCTATCTCCAAACATTCCGACAAGTTTTAAATTAAATTAAACTTATATAGGACTTGGGTTGCTTTCTTCCATCTGGCACTGACTAACTTTTTAACACAATTAAAATTCATCACTTTTTTATCTTTACTATTATATATAAATAAATTCGGAACATACGAAATATTATGTATTTCGGCTCAATTTTGCTGTAGGTGGTTGGCCAACAAAAGGTTGTCAAATAATTATATTATAAAAATCCAATACTTCAGCGGGCTGCTGGATTCTGAAATTATAAAAATTTAAAGCTACACATAAATCTACGATTTTATTATGCTGTCAAACCAGTTTTACGCAAACCATTGTTACGCAAACAACATTGTTCCGAGGCAGATAGTTGAATGATATTTTATACAATGTCTAAACCCAGGTATGGATTTATTTTTGTCCAAGTTTTATATTGGTCCACTATTTCAAATGCAGTTCAAACAGACATATATTAAATTGTATGATCCGTTTTAAATTCGTCCAATCTGTATAATAGCTATTATATGGTACATATTGTTGTTGACCAAGCAACACCATGTAGCTAAATTTTTTGATAAATGGAGTTTTTGTTTCATTCGATACAAAATCTCATGTGGAATATCTGAATAACTTTAGATGTGAAAAAATCTCAATAGATTTCTCTGTAATCGCAATGAAGCAACAACACCAGGTATAACATTTCTAACCACAACACCACATATCTTTTTCATTTATCATTCCAAAACCACCATTGGAGGCCAGTTTGCTGGGTTCATCATGAACAAAAGTAATTTGTTTTGTTATTGCTCTCCTATAACGTTGAAAATGAGTTAAGTGGTGTTGTTTGGTTGAGGACAATATGCTATTATAGAAAAATATTAACATTCCAATTAAAAAAAAAGTAGGCATTTGTAGACATTTTTATTCAACAATTGTAAAACTATAGAATTACAATATCACAAGTTTTATTAAATATTTACAAATAATATACAATATATATATTTTTTATTTAGTTGTACCTTCTAAAAAAATAATAATACTTTTAAAAATAATTATAAAATAAATAAATAATATATAATTCTCTATACCTCTCATACAATTAATTTAGTTAGGTCTAGTTAGTTCCATTCAAATTTTGAAACAAAAGGCTTCCTGTAACTAACTACTTATTGAAGGGTTGTTATTTTCAGGTGTTGTAAGCACATCATTTGATACAGAAAGTTTCTGTTCTTCTCCATGTACATGTTTTATATAGGACAGAAATACATTATATAACATTGTAATAGCATTTATATAAAGCACTTGGTATTTGACATTCACATAATAAAAATTTACCCATTGTGTAGGGGGCCATATCAGCCAATCAGCCTAAAACAAAAAACAGTAAAGAAATATATAATATATATACGAGGTCTGGCTATTAAATAACGAGACTGATTATGAAAAAGAGTTTGATTTTAAAAATTATTCTACAATCGAATGCTCCCCTTCAATATACTCCCCTTCCCTGGCCACACACCGTTCCATTTGTTTTTTCCATTGGTCAAAGCAATGCTGGAAGTCTTCTTTTGTAAGAGCATTTAGGAGCTCCGCCGATTTTCGCTTCACCTCTTCCATCGACTCGAACCGGGTTCCTTTTAAGGCAGACTTGATCTTCGGAAACAGGAAATAGTCACAGGGTGCTAAATCAGGCGAGTACGGCACGTGTTCGAGCACTGGAGTGCCTCTAGCGGCTAAATAACGCTTCACAGACAGCGCGTTATGGGCAGGTGGATTGTCCTGGTGCAAGATCCACGATTTGTTTTTCCACAACTCCGGCCGTGCCTTACGAACTCGCTCTCGGAGCGTTGCCAAAACTTTCAAATAGTAAGTTTTTACAGTTTGACCCTCCGGAACCCATTCAGTTATCACGATGCCGTTGATGTCGAAAAAAAAAAACGATTAGCATGGCTTTAAATTTTGATTTCGACATCCTTGCTTTTTTCATTCTCGGCGATGCAGGAGTTTTCCAGTGTATGGATTGCCGCTTAGTTTCAACATCGTATTGGAATATCCAGGTTTCATCGCAAGTGATGATGTTTTCCATCAATTCAGGCTCTTCATCTAACCGCTGAAGAAAATCTGAGCAGATCTGTTGACAGACGAGCTTTTGGTCAGGGGTCAAATTTTTTTGGGACCAACTTAGCACAGACTTTCTTCATGTTCAATTCGTCATGTAAATTTTTTCTGACAGTTTCTTTATTGGCGTTTACAGTCTCAGCAATCATCCGAATACTCATGCGACGATCTACGCGCACAATTTCATTTATTTTGGTCACTATTTGCGGAGTTGAAACAGAGACAGGTCGACCTGGACGTTGGTCATCCTCGGTGCTCTCTCGACCTTCAGAAAACCTTTTATACCATTCGAAAACACGCGCACGAGATAGAGAATTCTCACCATAGGCCTCTTTCAACAACTTATAGCACTCAGTCGGAGTTTTTTTTTTAATTTAACGAGAAATTTCACATTGATCCGTTGCTCGTGTTTTTCGTCACACATTGTTATCGGTACGAAAAAAAAAACACGTTCGTTTTAAACCTCTACAGAAAAAATACTACTACAGCGACAAAAACGTGCTTTCGTACTGAAAGAGTAGACACTTCCAGCTATCCAACGCTGCATTCATTTCCCACCCTACCCCCCTAGGACGCCTTCTGCGCGCAGTCTCGTTATTTAATAGCCAGACCTCGTATATATATATATATATATATATATATATATATATATATATATATAATTAAAAACATATATGAAAATGCCACCATGCATATAAAGCTGGACGAAAGCACAAAAACTAATCCCATAAGACTACAACGGGGAGTAAGACAAGGAGACACCATCTCTCCCAAACTATTTACCCTTGCTCTAGAAGATATTTTTAAGAAACTGGAATGAAACAATAAAGGTATCAATGTCAACGGATCATACTTAAACCACTTGAGATTCGCAGATGACATAGTTTTAATAGCCGATAATATCCAAGAACTAAATGATATGTTACAACAATTAAATGCAGTTTCAGGAGCGGTAGGCTTAAAAATGAATTACAGCAAAACAAAAATACTGAGCCGAGACCAGACAAATATAACAATACAAAATCATACCATAGAAAATGTGGAACATTATGTATATCTAGGTCATGTTATCAAACTAGGAAAACCAAATCCAGATGCTGAAATTAAAAGAACACAACTGGCTTGGGGCGCTTTCGGCAAACTAGCACATATCTTGAAAAACACCTCCATTCCTATAAACTTAAAGAAAAAGGTGTATAACACATGCATACTACCTGTTTGTACCTACGGGTTGGAGACAGTAGCACTTACCAAAAAATCTGCCAAAAAATTAGAAACAACGCAAAGAGCAATGGAACGAATCATGCTTGGAATATCACTAAGAGACAAGATTAGAAACACCAAGATAAGACATAGAACGTAGAAGATTAGGGATATTGTGGAAGAAATTACAAAAATAAAATGGTGCTGGGCAGGTCACGTAGCCCGATATAATGACAACAGGTGGACACGGAGAATTCTAGAATGGAGACCAAGGATCACAACAAGAAGCATGGGAAGACCTCAAAAAAGATGGGTAGATGACATAAGAGCAGTGGCAGGCAAACAGTGGATTAGATTGGCGCAAGATAGAGAAAGATGGAAGCAATTGGGAGAGACCTACATTCAGGAGTGGATGGAAAATGAATGGAAATGAATTCAGATAATGAATTATCAACAATAGATATAATGTTGAATATGTTGAAGATGATTAGAAGTAGTTATATTGATTTGTAGTTTACTAATTTATTGATGATCAATAAGTTGTATCAACTGATAATGAAAATAAACATAAAATAAACAAGATGAAGTAAATAGATGTTTACATACAAAGCTAACAGAACTAAGTTAAAGAAATAGGTTCAATTTATTGAATTTTAGTAAACAGATTATAACTATGATACAAGGATCAATAGATCATAACAAAATGATTAGTAGTTATATTGATTTGTAGTCTATTAATTTATTGATGATCAGTAAGTTGTAGCAACTGATAATGAAAATAAGAATATCAACCTTGCAAGATGAAGTAAATAGATGTTTACATACAAAGCTAACAGAACTAAGTTAAAGAAATAGGTTCAATTTATTCAATTTTAGTAAACAGATTATAACTATGATACACGGATCAATAGATCATAACTCATGCATCATATTTTAAAACAAATGGTAGTGCTAATTTAAATCAAAGTAAAATAAATAAAATTCAAGTTAATCTTTAAAAGTGAGGTAATATTATAAACAATGAGGCATTGAAATAAGTAATACATACGGTATAGACTGCATAAAATTTTTGTTTAAATTCATTAACAGCTTCTTTAAATGGTCTCATTTCAAGAGCATTTAGCCCAAAAAAGAAACAAGCAATACAAATTGGAGACATTATAAATTGGTCCAATGCAATTTTCCATAAAATAACTTTTGTTGTTCTTTCTGGCCATTTTTTCGCAATGCCAATATAATAATAATGATGTATGGGACCCAAGGCTAAACCTACTATAAACATCCGTGCTAAAAATAATTAAAAAATTAAACTGTGATTAGATAAACCTCAACTTGAAGAAATTGCACATTTTAATAACAATAATATTAAATATTTTTGAAAATAACTAGAAACACTTACTTAATCGTGCATAATCATAACGCTTGTTTAACAGGTTTTGTCTGTATTCTAATTCTTGTTGGCATAAATCCCCAATGAACATTAACAACCCTGATGAAACAGTATTTGAAGCTAATAAATATTTTTTGCTAAATAACACACTAACAGTCAAACCTGCAGGACTAAGCTTTATATTATTTTTCGAAACATGTCGTTTAACTAGATGTGAATAATTGAAACATTTAATATTTTTGTAATTTCTTAATAAACATGATGTAATTTTAAACATCATGTTTCTAGGCAGTCCAACACATAACCTCAAACCGAACTGTCAAAATGTCTGGAGGGCAAACAATGGATTGAATAACATTGTGTTTGCAGTAATAGACAAATATTTAATTGTAGTTATCCAAATATAATTAGTAGACCTAATAATTGATAAAAACCAATATTCTTTAATGTAATTCTAATTCACATTGATTACATGAAGATATTTGAAGGGGTCAGAAGCAAAACCGCCTAAGTAGCAAAATACACCTTTTGAGAAATAAAGCATCAAAGTTTTTGCTCTTTTAAAAATTCTGGATGTTCAAAATTAAAATTTTAAAGTATTAAACAATTCAAAATAAGTATAAAATTTTAAAGATACTTCTGGTGAGAAATTATTTTAGTTTTTTTTACCTCTTTCGACAAAAAAATGCACTTAGGTTGTTTTACCTTTAAGCAAAAATGGATTTGTAATACACAAAAAGAACTAAACAAAAGCTTAATTTTCAATTAATATTTATTTTTTCTTTAAAAAAAAATACAAATTTTACTTTTTTATAACACCAGAGTTACGCATAATCTGAGAAAAAACCTATGTAGTCGTCTTTTTCGACGTTGGCATCTTCTTTGAAGACTTAACAGCAGTGCTTCCTTTTTTCATTGTGTTTTTTGCTGCTTTGACTCCTGCGGCCAATCATTATAAAATTGATGGTAAGTGGGGGTATGAACTCTAGCAGCTGTTATAAATTTTGCCATTTTTGATACTTAAATTGTCTCGTACTTCTTTTTTCGTCTTCAGTTGATGATGATATTAAGTTTACCAACCGATCGCATTTATAACAAGAGTTGAATGAGGATGGTGAAATTTTAAATTGAATTCAGTATTGAAAATATAATCCCTCATCCCTTCCTGGGGGTTTATCGTTATCAGTGCAATTATTATCTTTGTAAAGACCATACATTTTGCTAATGTTTAAATCGGACGAAAGGTATTTCGTATTTGGATTTTGATTATAAGAGTAATGACTCCTATTACGTAGTAATGATCTGATATATTCATTCGCTATTTTTCTTGCGTTCTCTGATACTTTGTTGGTTGGGACATATTTTCTTCTTTTATCAGGCTCCACAAAATTGTTTTTGTTAACTTTTTTACACATAACCTTAAAGCGACTGTCTCTGATATCAAAAGTTTTTAGGAAAAAGTCTGCATACACGGCGGTCAAGAAGTTTAATTTCTGTACTGTAATTTTTTTGCTATTAGCCAGTTTTTTTTAGGTTCAGTTTTTCTGATATGAAGCTAAAAAAGCTGTTTGCAGGTTGGTAAACTGTCCAACTTAGAGAAGAGTCGTTTACTTTCAATGTAGTTAAATATTCCACATTGGTACCTACACGTATGCATATACTCCTGGACACATTTCTTTCTCTTCAACTTTTCTCTGCTTCCATATTCTTAGCCAGCAAGCCCCTTATTTGTGATTTTATTCCGCTTCCATGCATGTATGTTTCGCTTCCTTTTTCGGTAAATTTTAGGAATTACTGAAAAGGAAAAATATGTTAAACCCTTAAGTTGAACTTAACTTCCAAATTTCTAAAAGTACATAACTGTAAGGTAGGTACTAAATTTACCGGTATTTACAAGTTTAATATTTACATAATAAATTAATTTTTGTTAGGGATAATATGCTTAAATTAAAACTAACAAGCTAAAACACACACTTTTACTACTCAAATATTATACTCCACATGTGTGCTTATAGTTGCTTCCTCGGCAGATATTATAGAATTATCGCTGTCGTTATCTTCTTCATATTCACTCGGAATAAAATCAGATTCTCTATCTGTAGCGTATGGATCACTATCTGACTCTAAAAATAATATCAAAACTCAAAAAACATGATCCAAATATTATAATGACAAAATATATCATTTCTGCAAACAATAGTATCACTTGAAACACTGCTGTTCATCTACTAAAGAAGTATAACCTACACGCTATTGGCGATGTCAACGAACTATAGGGGGCGCTTTGACAGATGATCAGCTGATCACGCACGTAGGAAAACAAAACGGAACTACCATAATCTTTGTAGGTGAACGATTGCTGTGTCTAAAAATTATCCGTATTTATTACCTTCCATTTATTTTTTTATTAACGCAATGGCAAATAAAGAAATTGAAGTTAGTCTGCTCCATATTTTGAAATATATAGGAGACACAAAAAGACCTTTAAAACAAAGCGAGGCCTTGTTAAAGGCTGGCCACGTTGTGTTGTGTGGCAAATATAATAACAAATTAGTAGGTTTGTATGTGCAAACGACTAATTTAAATTGTGCCCCACATGAAATCACTGTGGACGTGTTAAGAGAGTGGGTGGCAAAATGCACTTGTAAAGCCCGCCAGTGAGGAATGTGCGTGTTTTATTACGCATTAGTCTAGCATTCACCAGTTCCTCATTGATTTTTCTTTCGTGTTTTCCTTTAAGAAGGCATTGAGAGGGAACAACACCTTTCTTTGAAATTTCTTTTGCCCTGCTGCAGAAAAATTTGAATTAAGATCTATTTTAGTGTATATATGTGGTTAGGTTAGGTAGGCACATTATATATAATAAATGTTGCAATTCTGTTCAGAAAATTTAATTGAAAAAAAAAATCTGTTGATAAAAAATGCTGTGAACACACCATCATATCACTTGATATCGATTTCCCAATTTTTAATTCCTGTGCACAACGATCTTATAGATTTTTGTCACGAGGAAAAAGTGCATAGTTATTCCTTCCGATCGATAATTACTGCATTGCGGTGCAAAGCAATACGGTTTACATTTACTTTTTAACATTTTGTTACCTTATTGTGCTTTATTTAATAATATTTAAAATGTTCATAACTATGTTATGTGTGTAGAACTAAATACAAAATGTTTTGTTATCCTACGTGCACCAGTTCAAAATTTTACCGCACCGTGCCGCCTCTTTCGTTTGACATCGCCAATAAGCAAATCCAAACCGTTGAGTGGAACCCAAACAACATAAGTAATAAAAATATATTTATATCCAGGCGCTTGTTTGGAGGTAAAACAGCCTAGGTGCGCTAAGGCGATTTCTGCTCTTAACGATTGGTGAATTTCATTTTGGTTGTTTTTTCTATTCATCAAAAGATGGCGATAAAGTAGGGTTGGAGCGTAGTCGATTTTACTACCAAACAATATAAGATATTCAGAACGTGAAACATCACTAAAGTCGTTTTGGTGAAAATTTTACTTAGGTGGTTTTACTTCTAACCCCTTCATTTATAATTTAATGAGGTAAGTTGAAAAGCTCATAATAGTTTAGTTAAGTCCTTTAACAACCACAATTATTGTCAATATATCCTTATAATTATTGATAAGAATGTACTTATATATATTAGCATATTCGGCATATCGCTAATATTTCTCAGTTATAGATTTAGCTTCATTTAAACATTTTAGTGTTAACACAAAATGAGCTGCTGAAATTAAAATAACATATTTTTATCAATAAAATTTTAACATTTTTGAACTAAGTGCGACTCAAAATATTTTTTATAATATAGTAAAGACATTTACACCTTTTTAATTGATAAGAAACCTAACTGTTTATTAATTTGATGAATATTATTTTGTTTCAGAAATGGGTCGAAGTCATTACTTCGATAACTTGAAATTATGATGTAGCAAGCAATATCTAGAGAAATTAAAACTAATCAACAACATAGATCCATATACTATTTCAGAAATTGAATTAAGTTACAATCCAAATGATTTTCCCCCAACAAGTAGCATAAATGTAGTGAGCTATTGTCTATTCGCTTAGCTAGGGCATATTTTGACAGACTCATTGTCGGAAACCTACAACACAACAATTCCTACTTCTCAGTATAAATAGCTCAAGTATACTACTATTGCAGACTTCTTTCTTTGAAAAAAAAGAAGAATTATTCTAAACAGTGGAAGTGTATACTAAACCATCAAATTTTTCATGTATATTTAAAATATAATATTTGAATTGTTACAATTTAAAATATTTAATTTTTAATTTAATATAGTTTTATTATCTTTGTTTAATTCTTTTGTTAGTTCTATTCAGTTAATTAGTTAGTTATATTTTAAATTTTATTATTATGGATAGTCAAAGTTTTCCATTTGTTCCATCAGCTAATGTGTTTTTCTTAATAAATATGATAAAATGTTTTTTAAAAAGTTTTTTTTAAAGTTAATATTTTTAGATTAGTAAGGATGCTGTTCCCAGATTACAAGATAATAAAACTGCACAAAGGTTTATTCAAAATGCTTACCATTTTTTTTTACCGAATGAAAACCCTGTTAAAGTAAGTTGTTCATTAAAATGTATTTATCGAATTATGTAAATGTTGTAAATACATAAGGAACTTGCTGTGTCTTATTCTTATTTAACCTCACTTTGACTTCTTAATTTTGTAGAATTTATTCCCACTTTTTTATTTTGTACAATAAATAATTTTATTATTTGTTATCAATACATTATACGGTGTAAATAAATAAATATTGATTGTCGGCAAAGTTCTATTTTATTTACTTTTGTTTACATTAATATTGACTAAGAGCACGTATGCTTGGTTGTATAGTATTTTCCAGCCACTTCGAGTTTGTCAAAAAGTAACTAACTTCGAAAAAAAATAATTACTAAAATCACTAGACAGTTCGGACTGGGAATAGCGAACCGGGTATATCTAGTGTTGAGCACCAGTTTTTACACACAACATCAAATTAAAGCTTACAAAAGCCTGCAAGCATACAAATACTTTAAAGCAAAGCAGGTTTTGTGAGTAATTGTGGGTCAAAAGTTGTAAATGACAAGTGACATTATGGAAAGTGAGTATAGCATTTGAGGAGCAAATAGAGAGATATCGCAAGTGCATTTTTATCGCACGCTAATAGCGGAATACGCTATTTTGACATGTACGCAAGCGCATAGTGAATGTTACGTTAATAACGGATAAGGGCTTCCGCTATTTGGGTCGAAATAAG